TACATTTAACATGCGTGCTTCTTTATTATAGAGAAACTTATAAAAACCCACTCTGGCTTTAGATAAAATAAATAGCAGCTTTCCCCCTTAATATTTGTGGTCTAGTAAAAGGACTTCCAATGATCCAAAAAATGACCTAGTCAGAATGAGGTACCTATATAATAAGCAGGAAGTGATGTATAATACAGTTCTTCTGAAGAAGCAATTTTATATTGTGTATTTCAAGCAAGCTGCATGTGGTAAGATGTTTAAAAATAACCCAGCCCTCTGATCTATTTGATCCTGTATGTATTGCCCTGGTTAGCTAGAGGTGGAGTCCTTCCATTTTGCACCCTATGCACTGACATTGCAGAACAAGCTGCTGGCGTCGACTGCTGCTGGCCTGTGTCACATGAACTGGATAAAAACAGGGCAACATCTGGCAGTGAGCACTGCAAGCCTCCTGATCAGAACCTCAGTGTAAAGAGGAAACGCAGTGGTCGCGTTGCCTCCCGAGTGCCTTAAAAACATGCTAAGATTTAGGAACAAAACTCTTTCCAAATGAGTGCTTCAAAATCTTTCCAGTATTAGCTCTTTGCAATGAGCTCAGACAGGATCTCCCCTGAGCACTTTAGTGGAAGTGTTCGTGTCTATGAATGTATGGCCAGGATACATCTATGGGCCAAATGTTGCAATCAATAGCAAAATCCTTGCTGACTTCAAAGGGAGTAGATTCCAGTGGCCCCAAGACAGTAAAGCATTTACATACAGGATTCGTTGTGAATCTGAAATCAGTGGGACTTAAACACATGCTTAGACTTAGCCACATGGTTAACATGTTGATGAAGAATTCTGGATTGCTTAATATTGCTGATGTTGCAGAAGCCAGATAATAATCCAACTCACTTAGCACTAGTTGTACAGGATCTGCCATGCCACCAGAAGTTTGCTTCTTGGCCATTGCTTTCCTGCCACTAAAAAGTGCCATTTTTCTATCACCACATTGTCATTATGATATAACTGGTGTCTTCATTTCCACTGAGAAAGGTACTGAAAAATCTGGTCCACTGGCCATTATCCAACTGAGCTGGTCTGGACACATTGTGAGACATGGTAGTCTGTCTGAGAGGAGGAAAAGGCGACAGACTTTATCCCATTTTTCTAGCACCACATTTTAAGGGAAAAAACAGCTATGTTTTTCATAACTTACGGGTAGAAAAGTGTTCGCTCTGATCTTATTTGATTAGCCTGGGCCCAGGGAGGAATGAAATGAGACACTGATTGCTTATAGCAGGCCTAATTAATAATCTTTGCTAAAGTCAATGGAAACATTGAGAACACAGATGTGAGCCACAGAAGTGCCAACTACAGCAAATTTTGCCACACTTACTTAGTCTGGGGGATGCTTATAATATATGTGCAAAGTATTTTGTTTTCTACCTAGTTTCAAGTGTGTTGTAGTCTTTTCCATAGCCTCGTACAGGAGTGAGCGCCATACACATGGTCCATGTCAGGGTAGGAAGGTTTTTATCATTCTGTTTCTCACTGGGGAACGGAAAACACAGGGTGTCGGAGGACAGGAGAGCGTGCCTGCTACATCTCTGCCTTTCTTACTCCTCCATCCATCCCCTTGCCAAGGAGCTGCAGTGCCCCTTTGGGTTTGATCTCATCCCAGGGAAGGCAGTGGCAGAGTTCACATCAGTAGGGCGGTGACGACTCTGATACTCATGCTCAGCTGGGGCCTACTCACAAAAGTTAAAATACAAAATACCAATGCTAATTGCGTAGTGCAAGAGGATGTGAATTCACAGCTAGGCCATCAGAGAAGAAATAATGAGGTATTACTTGCAGCTTATCTTACTATAGTCACGATGATTTTAAGCAGGCTCCTAGTTGTCTAGTATGTAACTGTGTGAAATGTCTATCCTTGATTAATTAGTATGGTAAATATTTCTTTTGCATTTAACTCATGCTTATATGCAGGAAGAGACATTCTCCATACGGGATAGGTGTCTTCTGATTTACTTTTGTTTTGCTGTTTCCTCCTGATTTACCTTGTTTTGCCATGTGTTTCCCTTGATCTTCCAAGGACACTCCCCCAAACCTTGTGTTTTTCCTGGTTGTTAATCAGTTTCTCGATACCTTCCAAACTTAGTAGAAACGGATAACCTCTTGTCACTGAGGAAGGTCATTCATTCAAATCAGAACTTTCTGATAACCAATAACGAGCAGTTTGATTAATGGGATTTAGCTAACAATTACTGCTTGGGACTCTCTCTTGATTTACACAACTACAAGAATGCTGTGAAGGTGCTGGACTAAAGGGCATGGGTGACTGGTGCCTCCCAAATCTCCGGGGGCACCAGATCACCGACTGGGAGGGGGAGGTCCCCCAGTGGCTGATCGCTGAATGGGGGCAGGTCCCCTAGTTGCTGAAATCACTGGCAGCAAAACCAGAAGTGCACTTCCGCCGGCACTTCTGATTTCGCAGCTGGTGTTTCCAGGGGGTAAACGGCCAATCTCAGGGGGTGCACGTGCTCCCGCACGCACCCCCTGTGCATTGCCAATGCTAAAGGGTATAAGAAAGAAGTGGAACAACTAATAGTGCACGCTTTAAGGGTGAGAAATTTCTCTCTGACATGAACTACTGCTGCGCCCAACTATCTTGAGAAGTTGAAGAGAAACAGACCGCCTTTTGTTGCCTGTTTGGTGAGAAATTATCACCTTAAAGCTAAATACTGGACTTTGCTTTGCTTTGGGCTCTTTAACCTTGAATACTTGTAGACAATAACGCCTTTCGAGCGAGGCGTTGTGTCAGTCCTCTGATACTAGTCCAGGACCCCATGTTTTTATTTAACAGGCGGCTTCAAGTCCTTTACTTTTATTAGAGGGAAGCTCATTTTCATAGTTGAATATAATCGCTTCCTCACCTTCTGACCCTTCAATTTGAGCACAGCTCCTATTGTATTTTTAGCTCCCCAGTAGGAAGAATTCCTGATATTTTACTAATAAATCTCCATCTTGTAAATGAAAAGACACTGTTAGGGGACATTCAAATCAAAATGAAGAGATGCATCAGCCCCAGACACAACAGCAGAGCTGATAAGGTATGATCAGCTAGCAGGTGTCTCTGAAAGGACCGTGCTCGGTAGGCCTCAAGCTTTTGTTTTATTTTTTGCTCCTAGGATAAATTTAGAAAAAGGACATAGGGAAAGGTAGGCAGGTATTACTCAGTTGGCTTCAGTCTGGTTGCAGGCTGGATTGGTCAGGGACAGCCATGAATAAGAGGCACCGTGAAGCCCGTAGCAGCTCTTTGATAAGGAGTCAATTATAACTGTCCTGTGAAGGAGCAGTTCTGACTCATACCGTGGTTGACCCTTATGCAAGTGAATGCTCACATGCAGAGGAAGCTTGCTCAGCATCTTCCACCCCTCCCATATGCCATCTCTCTCCCTTATGCTGGGAGTGGTGGGAAACTGGTGCAGGAGCTTGCTGGTTATTCTCTGCTAGCTCTCTCTGGTCACTGTCTGCTAACCAGTGCCAAGTGGATTAACCATGTTGGAGAAACAGATCCTCTGGGTATTACATACTGCATTTGGGTTAAAGCCTGCTATGCAATGACTTATTATGGAAATGCCTGGTGCATATTTTCTCTGCTCTCCCACACGAGTACAGAGTGTACTCTTTTATTCTGTCTTGCCATATTACCGGCAATTGCTTCTTGGAGAGCAGGCAGCACGAGCTCCACAACTTGCTTTCTTCACCATCTCAGCTCCTCAGAGAGGCAGAGAACTCGTGTTGCCCAACATACCCATAAAAGCGACCAAGTCAAACAGCTCAGGCCATTCGAGACATTTGGATTGTCCCATTCTTGCAGGCTACATCGCCAAGCAGGGAGTGGGAAGTTCAGCCATATGTGTGCTTATTTATTTTATTCATTCATCTGTTTAAGATCTTGTCAGGGATGTGCCTTGGTATCAGCATTACATTACTGCCAATGGAAATCAGATAGCCTGTGAATATTTGTTTCAGGCAATGCCATAAGGGGTCACTGACCTGGTCAGGCCACCTGTCATGCTTCCAGTTTACATTAACATTCCCCAAAGGTTTGTAGAGACATTTATGTAATAGTAGATGACAACATAAGAAGCAACGGTATCATTCTCACTCAGGGTCAATAGCTAAGATGACGATATTTGGACTTTAATATGTCTTGGAGCTCAGGCTTTGTGTTTACTTCTGAGGGCCACTTCCAAAATTTGGAGTTTGAATCAAAGACTCACAGAATCATAGAAAATGAGGGTTGGGAAGGACCTCAGGAGGTTACTTCTAGTCCAACCTCCTGCTCAAAGCAGGACAGCCCCAACTACATCATCCCAGCCAAAGTTTTGTGTAGCTGGCTCTTAAAAACCTCTAAGGATGGAGATTCCCTCACCTCTCTGGGTAACCTGTTCCAGTGTTTTACTACCCTCCTAGTGAGAAAATTCTTCTTAATATCTAACCTAAACTTCCCTTGCTGCAACTGGAGCCCATTGCTCCTTGTCCTGTCGTCTGCCCCAATGAGTACAGTCCAGCTCCATCCTTTTTCGAACCCCGCTGCAGGGAGATGAAGGCTGCTATCAAATCCCCTCTCAGTCGTCTCTTCTCCAGACTAAATAAGCCCAGTTCCCTCAGCCTCTCCTCCCTACCCCTGTGCCCCAGGACCCGAACCATTTTTGTTGCCCTCCACTGGACTGTCTCCAATTTGTCTTCATCCTTTCTGTAGTGGGGGGCCCAAAACTGGACATAGGACTGCAGATGTGGCCTCCCCAGTGCTGAACATAAGGGAAGAATCACTTCTCTTGACCTACTGGCAACACTCCTACCAATGCAGCCCAGTATGCCATTAGCCTTCTTCATAACAAGGGCACACTGCTGGCTCATATCCATCTTATTGTCCACTGTCACCCCCAGGTCCTTTTCTGCAGAGCTGGTGCCCAACCCGTCAGCCCCAGACTGTACTGGTGCATGGGACTGCCCATCCTAAGTGCAGGACTTGGCACTTGTCTTTGTTGAACCTCGTGAGATTTCTTTTGGCCCAGTGCTCCTATATGTCTAAGTCACTCTGAATCCTAGCCCTCCCCTCCAGCATATCTACTAGTGTATCATTTGGTTTGGGTGTTTAGTCCTATTACCCTGAACTTTCCACTCCATCTCAAGTGTTGTAACTGAAAGTGAAGAGCAGTATTTGTGTCATGATAGCACCCAGGTGCCCTCGAAACAGGTCAAGACCCCATTGTACCAGACCAACACAGAGTCAAAAGCCAGTCCCTGCCCAGAGGAGCTCATAGCTGAAGCGAAAGACAGGAGGCAGCGGGTAGATACAGACATGGGAGTCCAAGGATACAGAGATGTGATGGGCTGGCATGACAGACAAGTGGGCTCAGCACACCAGCTGCCTCATTCTTGTCACGCTTTCTGTAAGCACGTATCGGAGCAGAACGTCCTCACCCATCAGTGAATTCAGCTGGAGGAAGGGCTCTTCTTTCTTCGTGGCGGTGCAAGTTCTTCCCACCCCCCTCACCTAGTTGGTATCTCAAAATAGAGTCTTTACAATATATCTACGCCATCCTTCACAAACTAGCTCTAGGTTTGACATAAATCCACCTTTTTAGATTTCAAGGAGCATATAAGGCTTTGGGCTGGGCTTTTTTTCTCTCTATCAAATCCTCTTGCCTTAGAAATGAAATGCTTGTAAATTATTCATTTCAGGTAGCTGGAGGTAGTGACACAGGCTTGTGCAGGTTCTTGTCATATCAAAAAGCAACCTGCTGAGAGAAGAGAGGAAGAGAGTTAAATCAGGATTTTTTCCTGAATTAGATTTAAATGGTGAATAAACCCCTTGCTGATCCCTCACAAAAGGGTTGGAAATCATTCCCTGTAAAGGCAAGCCTACTTATCAATCTCTGAGCTGGATTCTCCACGGTGTTGCCTTTTATAGTCTCATTTGTCCTGATGCAACATAGTACCATTCTGCCAGGCTAGTTTGATAGTGTTTTTTCCACCTATTTTGTACGTCTGCAGGTGAAGAGTCACACTAGGCCATGGGAAAGAAGTCCCTTTTGTTGACTCTCTTCTGCTACTTTAAAAGGCCTTTTGGAGGGTAATCTTGAAAAAGGGATCCTTATTGCTCAAGCTTTGTGCTTCCCTTGCTACTTATTTCTAAGGAGGAACTCCTTATTTCGTGACATCCCAATAAGTTGCTTTCAAAATTGGTAAAATGCAACAATAAACAGGATGACGACTTTGGGTGGGAAGTGACCATGTGGGTGCATCTACATGAGACGTTTGTTGCCTAATTAGTTGTGCTGTAAATGTTTCGGCATCTCCATGTGCGGCCCTCTTAGGCCTTTGGAAACTAATAAACTTTGCAGCAAGTTACTACTTGTAAATACAAGTACTAGCTCACTGCAGAGTTTTTTTCCCCATGTGCAGCTATGCATATGTAGATGCTGACATTGCTAGCTGGGGCATGAAAGTGCCCTGCGCTGAAGCACCCTTGTGCCCCAGCCAGCCCCTCCGCAGCATGTTGAGCTGGGTTGGAGCAGCCCTGGGCTGGCAGGCTGACCCCTGGACCCTCCGCCAGCTGGGGTTGCTCTGACCCAGCTCAACATGCTGCAGTCTCAGGTGCACATGGAAACAGGGATCCTGGGAGCAATAAACTCCAGTGCAATATACACTGGAGTTTATTGTGGCATTAATATGCATATGTAGCTGTGCCCTGTGTGTGTACAGTAAGGGGGCAATAAAAGTCTGGTCTCTGACTGAGGTTTTTATGGGTCTGCAGTATCAATACCAATATTGTCATTGTGAATTATTTTTGAACTCTTTACAAAAAATGTTCCTGTTTTTTTCTGTCACTTGTAAATAAATATCATCTGTAACAAAACCCAGGGGATGAACCCAAGAAGCACCCACAGGACTGTTTCTGAACAGGAATCTTTTGAAAGTTTTCACTGAAAACACCCATCACGCTTCATCCAAAACTCTTGTCGGACAGAGTGGGGGTGGTGGAAAAAACCCCACCTTTTCCCAAACTGATCGGCTTGCGTGTCTTTTGAAAAACGGGCTATGATTTTGGTCTCACCTTTTATAATAGAATTTTCAGGAACAAATTTAGCCCAAAGTGTTGTTGATGTTAAAATGACACAGCTTATCATGAAAGCTAAGAATAATCCATTTTAGAATAGAACTCCCTGGGGAAATTGGGAAGAACCTGATGCAATTGGCTACTGTTGGCACGTTGCTGCAAGAGAGGGGACCAATCAGCTGTGTCACTGAGAGCACTGGGTCAAGTCTTTCATCCTCCATGCACTTTGCATCTTGAGCTGGTTAATCAGGGTTGTTAGAGATTAATGAAGGCCTTGTCTATACTAGTGGTATTGGGTGAACAAAAGCAATTTCAAATTGGCAAGACTGTTATTGTTTGATTTTGGCTACATCTAGTTAAACAGGAAAAAGTCCAAATGCATTTAAAACCATTTAACCCTTAACTGGTACTGATCACATCCTAAATTCAGCTAAACTAATAGCATCCTGAATTCAGCTAAACTAACACCAATACAGATTAACCTCATAGATATCATAGACATTCGGGCTGGAAGGGACCTTGGAAGATCATCGAGTCCAGCCCCCTGCCCCAAGGGCAGGAAGTCAGCTGAGGTCATAGGATCCCAGCAAGATAAGCATCCAAATGTCTCTTGGGTTGGCCTAATAAAAGATATCAAATTCACCCAAGAAACCTTGTCTGCCAATGTCTCTTGAAGGCATTCAAAGTAGGTGCTTGAACCACCTCCGATGGCAGGCTATTCCAGACCTTGGGGAATAGTCCTTGGGGAACCTCATTTAAGTAAGTCTGTTTTTAGGCATCTGTACCAGCTGAATGACTTGACTTGAAATCAAGTGATAATGACACAAGCTCGTCATTACAAAATATCCCTGTTATTGTTCTTTGTGGTCTATAACTTGGTGGTCTATGCTACCTGTGTCCCATAGCTTTCCTTTTCAGATCATCAATGTAACGCAGCAATTCTTGATCTTTCCATGCCAAGATCTACTTTCCATACTGGGAACCCCTTCTCTGAAATCCTTACCTGGCTCTTTGATTTAGTACTTGTTGGCAGCGATCACTCATGGTTGAGGATGATCACTCTCACGGGTCAAGTAGTATGATTTAGGATGTAGTACTGTGGGGTGGCTGTGATGCCATGACACTGTGGAAAGAATTGCAAAGAAGAGTTTCATTAGTAAAGCATCCCAGGGTCATGACCCAAGCCCCAGTTCAGGTTTTTATAGCCACCAGCCAAAGCAGAGTCAGAATGACATAGCTGTTACAGCTTCTGCTTGCTCTGCTGCTGCTGTTGCTGTGTAGTACCCTGGGTTACTCTCCAGAAAGAGGAACCTAAAAAAAAAAAGATATTGAACAGTGCAAATTTTCTAGTCTCCTCTCTGTCCCATGCCTCCAATACTTTTATATCTTGGTGTAAATGACCTGTTGTAGAGAATTAAAGGAGGAAAGGAAGAGTTATTGTAGCATGATTAATTGAAGTAGCAGTGCCAAGATCCAAACCAAGTCATTTTTAACTCAGCTGTAGAAAGGGCCATAGAAACTACTCATGCTTCAGAAACTGCCTATGCTGCAGGATGGCCAAACTAGGATTTGTCTTGTTTTGCTTGTTTTAATTAGTTTGTGTTTGTTTGCCTTCAGGTGTTCAAGCATTGAGGTAAGTTTAGTCACATTTTTAAACAATCCTTTGCCCTCCAGGAGAACTACAAATTTATTAAAAACTGAGATTTAAAAACAAAAACATGAGTCCAGGAACTGGGGCTTTCAAATGGATGACTTGCAATAAAAGCATAAGAGTTGGCAACTGTGCATATATAGAAGGCTACGGAGAACAATGGCGATACTACTGAGACCAAGCAAGAGAGCTAGGCTCTTCTGTGTGTTAAATAATTCGGGGATCATTTTGCAAGACATCTGGCTGCTTCTGACTGTCTAGCAGACTGAGTGCACATGAATTAATAATGCAAACAGTGTACTCACAGTCTCAGTGCATGGACATTGCATTTTTTTACATATATAGACAGGGCTAGATTTGGGTTTGCCAAATTGTAACTGAGCTGAAATGTTTTACATGAGGAGTTTCCTAGACCAACTTTTTGTTCGTTTGGTTGGCTTTTTTTCTGAACACATCAGGCAAAGTCACTTGGGTTTTTTTGAGTGCATAGCTGGGCATGCTCCAGGCTGAGCCTTGGACAGGATTTTCCCTGCCATTATAGCACTGGGTTGAGGTAGGTGGGGTTTCCAGGCTCAGATCCAGGTCTGGAGACCTGACCTCAGAAAAGGGAGCTTGTTTTGCCTGTGCTCAAAGACTCCACCTGGAAGGAGATGGATCAGATGTGGTGGGAGGAAAGAGGTTGGGGCTGGTTGGGCAAAGCGAGACAAGGGGTTACCTTCTAAGGTAGTTTGTGTAATTTATACACATGCCGTGTAAGAGTTTGCTTCAGAGCCGCATTGCTTCCTTTATTCAGTAAGAAAAGCGTTGGGACTGGAATGAATCCCCTCCTTCATAAGAGAATTTACAATAATAAATTACATGCTATGCTTTTAGCCTGGAGGGGTCAGCTGTGTCCTTTTAACTTCCCTGGTTGCACTGTGTACAACACCATTATGCATGCAAGGAGTGGGGTACTTTGTCCAACATCAAGTCACATGTCTGTTTATTCTTTTGAATAGCAGCATTGATTGTTGTTTCTTCTCTCAGCCCAACACACACATGGGTCACTGGAGGAGGGGGGAGTTAGTTATATACTTTCCACTGTCAGTTTGGGGGTCAGACCTAGGCCATTTGAGCAGGACAGTAAATGATGCTGCTGGTTCCTGAGATGCATGATTCTAGATCTGTGTAAACATCTCTGCTCAAGTACCATGGCTAATGCGGTAAAGTTTAGGAGGGGATGTGCATACCCGGATCAAACCCTGAAGCAAAAGATTAGCAATTGGGAACAGCTCCTTATCAGTGTATTGCTTTCCAAAGAGGGTGTGTGCCTCCCATAAAATGAGACAGCCACCCCCTGAGGCCTAAACTATCCAATTGTTTGGGACTACATGTCCTAAGGGGACCTTTTTTCCCCTCTCTTTTTGCCTGGTCCTTGTTTCCCTAGTGTAAGAAGGAATATAGAAAGTATAAAACGCACAACCAAGGATGATAAATATACAGTGATCGTGGAAGGATAAATCAATGGCCTATCCTGACTTTTTTGTTGTGTTTCCTGCTGCTGGTTTCATTCTACAGTGTCCAATATCTTTGAATTTTTTTTGCTAAAATCATAGGAAACGTTGATTCAGTGCGTGGAACAGCTATTTCTGTGGACCAACCACACCCCTTTGGAAGTGTGTTTTGAGTCCAAGCGTTTTCATCTACTCCCTGCTTAGCAAACCGTTTCCCACTGGTATCCATAGTTTAGCCTTTATAGCAATATCCAAAGCACCAATTTAAAAGTTGCCAGTGAATATTTATCATCTTGTTCCATTCATCCCAGCCCCAGAGAGTATCAGAGAGCTTATTTATGGTTCTTCTAATGCCAAAAAGGACTGGAGTCCATTAATCCATCCATGTCAGGGTGAGAGTTGCTCAGATCAGTGTCTGTTGTATTGGCTCCGGTTGTGCTGCAGAAAATGGGAGTCAGTCACCTTCACTCTGCCATGCCCTGAAGTTTCTCCTCTCTAATCCCAATTTTCTTCCTTTTTCTCAGTACCTCAGATGTTTTGCAGTGATGAGTAAGGACCCCAGAGAGGGGAAATATTCAGGAAATTAAAAGAGGTCTGAAACCCTAATGTCGTAAGAGCTTTCCTGACCCTTAGGAGTCTTTATACAAGGCTAAAAAATGAAGCTAAGAACAGAGATTGGATTTCTCCCTGAGACAAAAGGAATCAGAACTCATGGTAGAGATGATCTCTTTTATTAGATCAACTAGATTTTTGCAAAAAAAAATCAAAAAAATCTTTATTTGCAAGCTTTCAGGCACAAGCACCCTTCTTCAGGTCCAGTAGAAATGATTGTAAAACTTCTCCTAGGTAGAAATGAAAGTTCATATTCGCTGAGACAAAGCCTTTTATCCTGGGATGCTACACAGATGTATAAGCCCATTGCCATCTTAAGTACCTGTGAAGTATCTGAGATAACACTTTTCTCCAATCAGGGCTAATTGGAGTTCATTGCCATTCAAGCTGTGTTTTGATGCAGGTCAAAGCCGGGGTGGATTAGATTCAAATAAGTCTGTTTTTACCCTGGGTGTTTGAAGACTGGAATTCAGTGATAGAGACTTGGGTGCAATTCCTGGATGTGCAGATAACTACAGCCATCAAGGCACCAAATGTCTGGATTCATCTGGCCTTTGGATGCTGTCTCAATGGTTTAAAAGTGGGGTGGAAAGTTTGGGCAGCCTCCACTCCTCCATACTTCTGCATGGGCGCACACATTGAAGATCCTGGTCACCTCCTACATATAGATCATGATCCAGAAGGATCTATGGTTGCATCTTAGACCCTATCTCTGTTCCTTTTTAAATTAAAGTAGGAGTAGAGAGGTGGCTTTTATTTCTGCATAAAATACCGTGGCGTTGATACTGGAAAATTGCAACCAGTTCTGGTAGTCACATGTTAAAAGAGAGGTTGAATAATTGGGGAGGATGCAGATTAAAGCCACCAAAAGAGATATGAAGGTTGGAAACAGTGCCTTCTTGAGATAGATTTAAAGAACTCAGTCTATGTTATCAGCAAGAGTGATACCATAATTGGGTAAGTGCCTTCATGGGGAGGGATACTGGGCAATAATGGACACAGAGGGCAATAATCCACTGAATTATTATTTTTCTGTAAGAAGGGACCAGAGTAAAGTCTCCAAGAAGAAGCACAAAGTGTCTTTTCTCTGTAACATGCTCTATTACATCTTGCTATGTTGCTATACACCATGGAAAGCAGTGATCCTAGGAAGAGTTAACAGAAGAATACAGCACGAATATTTAGTTCTCTTAGAAAAAAAGAAATCTGGGCGGTTGGAATATCCTCCAGATGGGAACAAACTGACACATTTTTTTCCTTGTTGTAGATACAGATTTCCATATTCTTCTGATTTATAATTTGTTTTAAATCAATATTGAGTTTGAGGAAGATGTCAGCCAGTGAACAAGCAAACTGTTAGTTTACTCCAATCCCTAAGCCTGCTTATGTGAATGTACAAATAAAGAAAAAGAATGAATCCTGGCCCCATGCAGGTTTGAGTGCAATGCAGTTGCTGAATCTGCAGCCAAGATTTTTCTCTTCACAGGACAGTCCCTGTAACAGAATGCAGGGTTGATATGACACCCCCAAAAAACCTTTGACAGTGGTTAGGGAGCTGATGGGGTGAGATCATTTTTAATCATGCTGACATATATGGTTTCATCATTGGCTTGTGCTCCCAAGTCTATCTGGTTCCATGTGGTCTCTTGTTTTATAATTAGATTATAAACTCCTTGTGGGTAGGAGGCATCCAGGCCAAGACCGGGGCTCCTAGATATTACTGCATTTCAAGTAATGATTTAATGTAGTGGCATTCTTCAAGATGCTTGTATTTATTCATGTAGCAGTGCCCAGCTGGGCTAATGGAAGGTGATGAGGGCTAATGGTTTGATGAAAGGACTAGGAGCTAGTTGTGCCAGAGTTGTAATTCGTCACCAAGTCCATTTGTGACTTTCAGCGATTTACTTGATTTCTGTTCTTGTATCAGGAAGGAGAATAGTAGTTTCATGAACTTTGAGAAATACTCTTCCATGAGTATGTGAACCATGAAGAATGCTTATATCTTAATTATGAGAGTAACTGCATTGTTTCCAGTGGGATGAGTTGTGTGAAGAAAATTACACACGTGCTTCGGTGTCTGCAGGATTGGACACGTATTTCAGAACCTGGGTTTTGGTCTCAAGCAATCTCTGCTTTATTCCCAGCTCAGCCACTATTTTTGGTGGATCAAATAACTTTTCTGTTTCTCTATTAGATGGGGAGAATAATCCTTACCTACTTTTGGAAAGCATTTTGAGTCTTATGGCTGAGACATACTATGCATTAGATTGTTAAAAGTAAATCCAAATAATAATAAGCAAACTGATAAATCTATGCAATTTTATTTTCACCTACTCATTGTGTGTGTTTTAAAAATAATTCTCTTTA